TTTGAATTTGCTATTGTTCATTGCTTATTTTCTACAAAACTGGCATCGTTCCGAATAAAATGACTTTAAATGTTTTCTGACATTTTACTGTTTCTTAAATAACTTTTAAACAAATATTAAGAATTTACATGAATTTGATTTGTAAAAATTGTAAAAAAGAGTAAATTTTGTAAAGTTTGACCAAAAATAATTTGTTTGAAAACAGAAAATTGTCGATTTCTTCCTTTCTTTTGTTATGTATATTCAAAACATTTATAAACAATATTACGGCATTATACGTTTGTGTGTGCCAAGAATTATAATTATGTAGTTTGTTACCATTGATATTTCTGTTTATATTTACCCCCTTGTTCACAAACAATATTTGGTTTGTAAAACTAATTTTCCATATAAAATTTGATTTATAAACGGTTTATAAAATATAAACTTGTTTATCAATAAGGCCTTTAATCTTTTCGTTGATAATTCCTAAAATATTTTGAGCGACGATCGTTCGTGAGATGTATTGTTTTCAAAAATGTTTTTCTTATTTATTTTTTTAGTTTTAGTGTTTTGCTTTAAGGAAATATACATATTTAAAACTTTTCCCACCATAGGGAAATTATAATCCACCACTTTGCTATTATTTGGAACACACTCTAAGTAATAACTTTTTTGAAATCATTTTGGGAATCATTATGAAACATAACAAGGTTCATTTTGAGAGTAACAAAAACAAGATTTTGCCTTTCATACAATGTGGTCTAATGTACCGACTTTAGAGATGCCAAATATCGATATTCTTTGGATATGTCTATTATGTTCATTTTTGTCTATAACTAAATCCTGTAAAATTTTAGTACAACGGGAACACGTACCGTAATACCTAAAAAATATATTTTTGAATATTTAAAACAATATCAAAGAACAAACAACAACATTATTTAAAATTTTCTACACTATATATGTACGTATGAAAAGCAAAGACGTGTTTTATGATGATTCCCAAAATATTTTAACTCTAGCGATGACCGTTCGTGAGCTGGACCAAATTAAAAAAGGTATTTTAGAATTATTATTTTCAAATTTTTGTTTTGTTTTGAAACAAAATATCCAATATGAGGTATCGTTAGAAAGGGGTTTTAAAACCGCGTCCAATGATGTCTTAATCATTAATAACCGTAATTGAACATGAAAAAATATCCCCCATAGGATATTTTCTGTCCAGTTCACGAACGGACAACACTGAACCCAAAATATTTTGGGAAACATCATATTACATAACAGCGAATATTTTGAGGGCGGTAACTCAAGCACCATTTTTTGTGAGTCGGTCTAACGTATATATGTACAGTAGAGTGTCCCGAGGAACAGCTTTTTTAAGAATTTCTTGTAGGAATACCTATCAATCGAACCGCATTAATGTACAGAACACGAGAAAAATAAAAAATATTTTCTTCGAATGGTCCTCAGTTTCCTACCAGCGATTGAAAATCCTGACTTCAGTATAATTTTTGAAAAATCTTAAAATTTTTGTAGAGTATTTTTGGTCCACAAAATGATTTTTATTGGGTTGGAGAGGCATATTCTTTTCGTTTTTTATCGAATAGGTTTCAAAATTGTCCTGAATTTTAGTTTATACAGAAAAAGGTTTAAAAAAAAGTTTGGTATATAATATATATAATATACCCCTGGTAATACACTAAAAGTCGTTCGCGGTCCACAAATACACTAAAAATTTTTTATTATTTTTCTCGCGATAAGCTCAAATTTACGGAATTTTTGTCATACATTTTGAAAAGATTGCATAAAATTATTTTTGAACATATTGTACTGAGATCTAGATTTTCAATCGCAGGTAGGGAACTGAGGACCTTTTCAAAAAAATTGTTTTTTATTTTTCTCGTATGTAGTATATTAAAACGCATCGTTTGAGATATATTCATTCAAAAAGTGGTCCACACCCTAATGTACAGCAGAGTGTCCCGAAGAACAACCTTTTTGAGAATTTCATGTAGGAATACCACTCAATTGATGAGTATTAATCTACTGAGCACATGAAAAATAACAAATAATTTTTTTGGAATGGTCCTAAGTTCTCTACCAGCGATTTTTAATCGACTGACCTCTGTATAATGAAAAAAAAAATATTTTCGATTTTTTCGAAATTGGTCTCAAAAATTCCGTAATTTTGAGCTGATTACGGGAAAAAATAATTTTTTTGGAGTATTTTTGGTCCACAAAATGAATTTAAGTGGGTTGGAGAGGCATATTGTTTTCGCTTTTTATCGAAATTGGTGTTAAAATGTTCGTAATTTTTAGCTTATAGGGAAAAATATTAAAAAAGTATATTTCTGAATTTTTTGACGTTTATATGCCCTTATAATACAATACAAGTAGTTTTGCGGACCAGAAGTGCACTAACAAAAATTTAAAAAAATTTTCCCGCGACAAGCTCAAAATTGCGGAAATTTTGACACCTAATTCGAAAAGATTGCAGAAAAAAAATTTTAGCATATTGTACTGAAATTAAGATTTTCAATCGCAGGTTGGGAACCTTTTAAAAAATTAGTTTTTTATTTTTTTCGTATTTAGTACATTGGAACGCATCGTTTAGGAGGTATTCATCCAAAAAGTGGTCCACGGGACACCCTAATGTACAGTTAATTTACGTCACAAAAGTATACAGATTATTTCAATATGTAACAAAATTTATGAAAAATATGTAAATATGTATTATAAGATAAAATATATTAAAAATTATACATGAATTGAAAAATTATTCACAAACAAAATTTTTATTTTATAAACGGTATTTTGTATGAAAATTTTGTTTTATAAACCTTTTATAAAATAAAAATTTACTTTACGTGAAGAGATTTTTGGGCATGTGGGATTGTCTTTTTGTAAGGTAAATTAAAAAAAAAAAAACACGGTGGCAACATGTAAATTTTTTGACAGAAGTATTTACTTTTGTTGTTTTTGTAGAATTGACTTCACCTTATAAGTGCACCCTGTACGAAACGAAATAATCAGAAAAACAAAAACAAAATACACAACGCAATGAATAAGCAGTGTTGTTGTTGTTTATTTTTTATGAAATTTTCAGAGGTTGTCTCGGATTTTTGCTTATATCTCCGTTGTTTATGGACGGATTTTGCTGATTTTAAATAGGAAACTTCTCGAAAGCATGTCTGATAGAATTATTGAAGATTTGGATCCCGAAGATACCTGGGGTCTTCAGAAAACTGATTTCAACAGACAGACAGACGGACATGGCTTAATCGACTCCGCTATCTATAAGGATTCAGAATATATATACTTTATAAGGTCGGAAAATTATATTTTGGAAATTACAAACTTATATATACCATTCTCACGAAGGTGAAGGTTATAAAAATGTCTCTTTCTTACATGTATTATATCCTAACATCAATAAACATGTTTAAATATAAATGTAATTCCAGGCATTGTCTATTTTGTTGCTTTTTAGGACATTCTGTCTTATAAAAATGACTAATTTGTTGTTACGCCCTTTTGAATTTCATGTTAATAAAATTGGTGTTTTTGACAATAAAGTTCTAAAAATTTGCGAAAACATGTATTTCGATGTAGTGGACCATTTTCGATCAAAAAGTCGAATTTCAAATTTTTGGTTTTTTAATGCAAATTTGAATGTTTTCATTAAAAAAACACGTAATTATTTTTTTATATGAGTATAATTTCAACAGTACGAATGAGTGTAAAGAGGAATTTCAAAAACAATCATGAAATCGACAAACATGAAAACAGACGTCTGGGCAAACATGAAAAAAATCATCGTGTAAATTGGGTGTTATATTCAACAAGGTAAAATTTTCATATTTTTTTTAATATCATTAAACGAAATACATATAGCAATTATCTGTATACTTACTTTTGCGACTTAAATTTTACACCTATTTAACTTCTCCTTATCATAATTGCTTTTAATAAATAATTGTGTTACTTTTTTTGTTATTTGAAAAATCAGTACGACTTTGATTATCCGTGATTCGATTATCCGGCAATATAAATTATCCGGGATGGAAAAAGAAAATTTTTTTGCATCGACTTCATTTTATTTTGAATTGACTTATATTTTTATGCATCGTTTAACCGTGATTAAATATGGAAAATATCTATTAATAAACTAGCCAAAATTGGCACTCAATTAACCGGGATAATTGATTATACAGAATGCTTCCGATCCCGACCATCACGGAAAATCGAGGTGCTACTGTAAAATAACTTTTTAAATTAAACCAATTGTCTGTATTTCTCATTTTTGCATGTATAAGTTATGTAAACAAGAATATTCTACACAAATATGGGAGTAAATAATGCATTTATTAGTATTTTTTTAATGTGTCTAGGGCAGACGTCGGCGCTAATATTGTTCTGAATACGAAGACTTTCGGCAATTACATGTATACAGCACGATCGCATACGAACTTCTACAAATATTTTATTTAGTTGCTTAGCAGCATTCAACAAAGTAGGTTGATGTCGCTTTGTTTTAGAAATTGCAAACGCAATTTGAAAAACAAAAACAAGAGCATAATTTACAAGTTGCTGCTAAGCAACTAAATAAAATTTTTGTATTTTTGACGCTCTTGTTGAGAAGCTAGTATGCGATCGTGTTGTATACATGAAAATTGCCGAAAATCTTCGTATTCAGAACAATACTAGCGCCGGTATATTGGCCATGGAAATTTTATATAACTTTATTTGTTCTTTAATATTAATGTTTTCTACCTCGTTGAAAAAATAATTTAAAATATTAAGAGGATATTCAAAGCACTATGTTTAAAGAAATAAAAAACATTTACCCAAATTTACAAGTTTTAAATTTGAGTTCCCGGCATGTTCCCGTTATCCGATTGGACTATAATTTTATACCAGAATAAATAAGACCCATTCAAAGAAATTTGATATCTTACGGACATCTATAATGTTCCTACACATATCTATTAAAATAATTCAAACAAAAGAAAAAACTGTTAAAGATGTTCATGCTGCAGTACACAGCTTTTTTATAATTAAATAAAACAATTTAATTAAATACTAATCCTTTAATACAATTATAATTAAAAATGTTGCCAATTGGAGTTTTGATTGTAATTGTTATTGGGTCCACCCATATTGTAGTTTTGATTTGATTCCAAATTAGAGTTCCATCCCCAATTTTGTGCGGTCATCCTGTTACCATTCTGGTATTGTTGGTTGTTGTATGAATCTCTCATGCTGGAGTTTGTTTGTTGTGGGTTGTTCGTATAATTTAAACCATAATCACAATGCGGTTCTAATTGGTTTCCCCCTCCACCTCCACTTACACCATATGTATTGGCCGTTGATTGAGCTGCATTGTTAAAGTAATTGTCACTTGAATTTTGCAAAACACTTGATGGGAAATAGTTTCTAATTGCTGTTGGATTACTTAAATTATTTTCGTGAATTACGTCAGCAATATTTGAAGAAAATTGTCTGCCACCCATTGTTTGATTTAAATGAGGTGCCCTAGGAAGACTTTGGACACTCCCGGTGTTTGCATATGATGGCGAAGGCGATTTTAGTAAATCCGAGAGAGTATCAGATAAAGTTTTTTTAGTCGAAGAAGCCGATTCTGACAAGGAATAACCACTTTTGTTGGTTTGAGAACTACCTGCGTTTTCACGTTTCTTTTTTTCAATTAATTTATAAACTGCAATAAGCTGCTGTAACTGTTGCGGATCAAAATCAGTTTTTCCCTGTGCTACGAGCGATGCAGCCAACTTAGATGCCAATTCCTTCTTGTCCACCCCCGAAAGCAAATTTTCAGTTGTGGATAACGATGTGTGAGATTTTTTTGCTAAAGGATTTGTTCCTTGATTTTTAAGAGCACCAGAAGTATTAACGCAGGCGGAGTCAAGTAAAAAGGATGAATTGCTTTGTGATCGATTTATTGAAAACTCAATGGATGAACGCTGAGTTGCCAACAGTTGTCGAAATTGGTTAGCGTATTTGAGAAGAGCCTCTGCATCGTTGACTACCTGCTTCAAAACTCTCTTTTTTGATCCTTCGAAAAGTCCAGTGATTATTAATCCCTTGAACTTCTCTTTGGCTGTTTCAATCAAGGAACAGTTATCATCATTGAGTATGATTGCATTAACATGTGAAGGATTCGTTTTTTCAGCTTGTAAAGCTTTTGAAAACAGATCTATGATTTTAGGTCCCAAACTTCCCAAGCTGTCTTCTAGGGCTGTCATTAACCTCAATACTGATACAACCTGTGGGACGTTGTCTCCTGAAGAAGGTATTGATGCTGGATTAGTGTTTAAACCGGCAGTTGAATCCGAATTACATGATGTAGTTGTTTCGTTAGAAGTTACATTTTTCGGGGTCTGAATTTGATATTTTTGTTCAGTTACATTGTCATTTGTCAATGGAAGACAAAGACGTTCGCGAGACTTAATTTTAAGATTTTCAACTTCTTGTCCATACAACTCTTCTAAGCGAATTTTTATGAATCTCACCCACTCGGGTTGATAGTTATATTTGCGATGATCAAGGCCGGCCTTTACCAACTCGTCTTTACGGCGTTTCCAAAACTTCTGCCATTCATCATTGTAAGACGGATGCGTTTCAGGGTCTATACGATATTGTTTGAATCGTTCGTCAAGGTTATGCAGTTCCTGATCAACCATGTGCCGGTAAGCTTGCCAAATATCATTTTGACGAAGAGGAGATAATGATTTTCGTTTTCCCAAGCTCAAATTTTGCACTGGAGAAGAGGAACGTTTGCGATGATCACGCGATTTACTTGTTCCTGAAATACCCTTTAAGGTTCCCTTAAGAAAGTCGTCAACCATAAGTTTGTATGTTTCATCATCGACTTGTTGAGTAACATTTCTATTATCTACTTGATTGTAAGTAATTACGGGGGGATATATATCTTCATATAACCCAGATGACATATATGATTTATATGTATGGTCTACACGTTGTGATACATATGAAATTAAATTTTCTCTTCCAGCATGTCGATGGCGATCTCGTGAGTTATATTCTTTGTCAGCAGTTCGAAAATTTTGCTGAGGCAAATCAGATTTTCTACTGGTACTGCCGGGTTTCGTATCAAATATAGTAGTTCGAGATGATGAGGTTGGAAAATACGTGTGTCTATTATTAATAAATTCATCGATTTCCTTTGATCCAACTACATGAGTGAATGTCGGACCATACTGTTCTGAGGCGTGTCGACACGAAAATGCCTTTGCAAGTATTTCGTGACGATTCAGGTTAAAATCTCTTTCGTAACATTCGTATGGTAAATTTCTGCCATGATGTTGTTCAATTGCTACCGCCAGCTTTGCGAGTACTGGTGTCATTACTTTAAACAACTCAGAGTCTGGAATATTTTGCATATATTGCCGATAATGACGTATTGCTGTTGGAAAATGTTTTTCACAAAATTTCAAACGATGATTGTATCCTTCCAGATGTTTTTGCATGGCAAATCCATCAAGTACGAGTTCACATAAACCGCATTCATAACGAGGGGAGATGTCATGACGACTTTTTAGGATTTTAATAACGTATTCCACTCCTAAAATTCCATGAATATCGTTATCACTGGGATTAGAACTGTATGATTTCACAGAAAAGTTCGGCAGGTTATTAGACGGTGTGCTCATTGATGATGGTGGTGAAGATTTATTATCTTTTTGTGATTTACTTTTGTGCATGGTTGGTATTATAATTTTATTTTTCTGGTACTGGTGTTTTTCATTGCCATCTTCATCTTTGTTTTCATTTGTTTTTATCGAGTTTTCCTTTAATGATAACGCAGCTGCTGGGTTAATTACAATCTTTGCTTTTTTTACCTTCATTTCTACAATTTTATTGGCAGGCAAGTATCTTTTTTCTGAAACATCAGGACTCTTCTGTATTGTTTCTTCCGGGATTTTCTCTGCCGAGTTAATTACAATATTTACCTCTTTTTTATTTTCTTCTGCAGTTTTATTGTCTGCCAAAGGTATTTTTTCTGCAATTTTCGGGGACAACTGCTTTCTTTCTTTCATACTTCGCTCTAAATTTAATATTTCCGAATCCGAAACTTTTGATGATTTCGCTTCGATATTAGGCTTTAGATTTACCGTTTCGACATTATTAGCTTCATTCTGATTACATTTATCAGAACTTATAATCTTAGATGCAGTCAAACTTTTATCCCTTTCTTTTTCATTACATGCATACCCATTATCATTTTCACTTTCCTTCTCAATGATAGCTGATTGTATCTTTACCGAATCATTAGTTTCATTCTCGTTATTAATTATACAAGTTTTATCAGCATTATTATTACCTAAATTGATATTTGATTTAGTTTTTGTCTTGTTTTGCAGCATTTTGTTTTCCAATTTTTCATTACCTGTTGCTAGGGATGTCTTATTTGGAACACCCTTGAATGTTGAACTTGATGAAGAATTTTCAGAAAATTTTGTTAGAGTTTTATCTACAAGCTCTTTCTTATTACATTTAGGATATGTATAATCAGAGTGATATAATTGATTTACTCTTTCCATTTGTAGTTTATGTTTTCTACCATCTATATGTGCAAGCAAATTTTTAAATGAACTCGTATCAAGAACACATAGATTGCATACAAATAGCTGTGGTGACACATTATTACGCGAAAACAACTTACTCCATTTAGTACCAATACGATACTCTATTGATAGAATTTCTTGCACCGATAAATGCTGAATTAATTCAGCAAACTCACTCTTTGTGAGACGATCTTCGCTTCCATCTTCATTAGACATTTTTATAGGTTTACTTATTACCACTTTCAAGTGTTTATATTCAAAACTGTGACCAGAAATTAATCAATGCAGTTATTGTCAATCAACAATTCCAATCGAAATTTGAATTATAGAATTCGGTTGCTTTAACTTTTTGATCCAAATGAAGAAGACAACAACTTGTAGTTAATTCCTGTAAGTCAATTAGTTTTTCTTAACTAAAAGTGGAGGAAGAAAAAACACATAACGTTTAAAGTGATTACAACAAAAACAAAATACAATAATTGACAATACATTTCTTATTCGATAATAATTTAATATTATCTTTATTATTATTCTACTGGTTTTAAAATTTGCTGGAAAATTTCGTATTATTTAAATATATGTATATTTCTGATAGATATAGATATAAATTAAATAAATGGCGTTTCAAAAAATGTTTTTCACGCACAAAAAATGTTGCACAAAATAATTTTTCTCCAAAAACTAATATGAACATCCCAGCAAAAAACTGTATGTTATACATTTACAAACGACATCTTAATACATCCAAAAATGCGTTTACATATTTTTCAATTTTATAAACCAAATATTTCCTTACAAATGAAAACCCAGTTAAAAGTGTGGATAGAGACTAGTCACTACAAATAACATATTCGAAGTACATCATACTTTCTTGAAAAACCAATGAAAATTACTTAAGCGTGTCATTGAAGGAATGTTCTTAAATTTTTGACATCTTCTTCTAAAAATAAGATTAGATTTAGTTTAAAGTTGTCAAAATTGAACAACAACACCCCAATTACACGTTAATGTAATATTCATAATTTTTCCCCAAAATTTGAAGTACCTCAAGTATGTTATGTGTGGTGAAAATTGAACTTCTTTTTCCTATTTTTTTTTTTGCTGGGATACTTTACATTGATTAAAAAATTACTTCAAATATCTAATTACTTACACTAAGATAACCCTTCATCAGGGTAACAACCCAGCAAAAAAAAGTGTAGAAAAATACGTAGTATTTTCATCACAACTAGTAAGCCGAAATTCGGGTTAAAAACATATGAATTTTACATTAGCGTGTCATTGGAGGGATGTTGTTCATTTTTGACAACTTGGACTACATCTAATCTTATTTTGAGAAGCAGTAGAAATCCAATATTTGGATTTCAAAAATAAACCGCATTCTTTCAATGAAACGCTGATATAAATTTCATTAGTTTTTAATCTGAATTTGATGTACTTCGAATATGTTATTTGTAGTGAATTTTCTACAACTCTTTCCTCACTTTCAACTAGGGTTTCATTTGTAAAGAAATACTTGGTTTATTGGGATAGTCACGATTAATGTAACTTATCTTTGTTAACGTAGAGGAGATTGGTTGTTTGATTAGTAATAATTCGCCTCTCTCTTTTGACATATGTACATAATACGTGGCCCTAGGTTCGTTATTGATCGTTAAGGGCCTTACAGTCTTGGGATTTCAGCAAAATTATCAGAAATAATTTTCTATGGACTTGGAAATAAAGTTTGAACCAAAATCGAACAATTTTCTAATTTTATTCCAATTAATAGATTTTTAATTGTTAACTTGATTTTGAAAAAAATGGCTTCAGAGCTTATTCCGATAAAACTTTTTTTGCACGGATATGATAAAAATTAAAGTGCTCCCATACGTTCGATACCAAAAAACGTTAAATTATCATATTCCATGATAGGAAAAATTATTAAAAATATTAAGTAGCATTTGTCCACATTATTGTAAATTGTAAATAAAGACTAAATTTTCAAAAAGAGCCTTGTCAAGCCAGCAATTTGATCTTGCGTCCTAAATCAAAACAAAAATCGGATGTTACCATTTGTATTATTTCTCAGTAAAAAAAACCGTTTTTTTGTCCACATCTTCTCAGTTGTCTATTCAGAGACTCAATTAAATTATATATCTTTGAAATGAGCAAAAAATTCGACTTTCTCAAAGAAAAAATAATATCTCAAATTACCCAGCAAAAACATGGTAATGGGTTGTACTTCCATAACCACTTACTTTTCAATGACATCTACTTACCGTCTGCATTACTTAGAAGTACTCTAGTAATGACTTTCTTATAACCTGATATAGAAGTACTTTATTTTCGGCTTTGTCATTTTGTATGCACATTTTATTTAATTGGATGTTAAAAAAACAAAATTATAACCATTATTCGACGCGGAATAAAATAGCTAAGCAGTGGTGCAGTGAGTAGAACATTTGACTAACAAACCGAAGTCCCTGGTTCGTATTTTAGCTGGCTCTTTTTATTAATAAAAATTAAAACATCTTATTAAATCTTCTTTGTAACAGAAATTGCGAGTACTTCTTTAACTCCCCATTTGTAAGCTAGCGTAGCGACATCACCGTGTTAAAATAATGACTTAAAATGCTAATGAAGAAGTAGTGAAAAGAGGTTTTATTAGCTTTTTAATTTATTACTTTTCAATGTAAGTTTTTCCTGGGTAACTATTACCCTAGGAAAATTAATCAAAAAAATGAGCAATCTTGGTAATTTTGGATAGCTAAATGAAAATTAGCATAAAGCTTCCCCTTAGCATAATTAGTAAGGGATTAAAAGACAACGAAAATATCCTGTGCAAGATATTGGAGGTCAAAGGTAGCAAAAATCAGTTTATAGCGAATATCTCGCTTATTGTGCGTCTTACGCGTTTTGATGTTATTTTAATTTCTATAGTGAATCGAAAAGAAATTATAAGGTACAAGAAAACTAGACGCATAGTTTTACTGTTGGAAAATGTGAAATATTTCGGGCATTGGCTACACTATTTATTTATTTTCTTTTTATGACATTTATTGTTTCATTCCCTTTACATCTTTTAATTGCATTTACTTTGTAACTGATTTTATTTTATTCTTAATTTTACGCTGACAAATAAGGCACGCATTTGAATTAAATCTTAAGGAAAAGCATTTTTTTCTAACATTAATATTTTTTCATATTCTTGTTACATGTTGCTAAAAGCTCATGGAAATTCTGTTTAGAACCCATCAAATGTCAGACATTTCTTTAACTAAAAATATATTTTTTGGAATGTTTTAATTTTTATGTCAATGATTTCATATGAAATAATTATAAGGTACAACTTGGAAATTGTGTAAAAATTTGATTTCTGTATTATTTTCCCCAAATTGTTTGACTCGATTTGGTAAGATTTTAATATAGACAATTTAAAACAAATATAAAAATAAATTTTATTTTTCAATGTTATTTTTCAAAAATATTTAAAATATGTCGACTAAAACGAACACTAACGTCTCAAGTCATAATTTTACCTCTTAATATAGGAAAATTAATATAAAGCTAGGAGATTTTGCAATATATTGGGGGCTTTTTTAATCACTGGATTTATTTTATTTCAAGAAAAAAAAACTGTCTTTCTAGGCCGAAATTTAGTTTTGGTAATAGAAGGTCAAAGTAGTTAGATTTAGCTAATTTCAATATGGCAATGCTTTGTATTTATAGAACAAAACCAAAATAAATTAATTTATTTTATTCACCAATAGATGGCCAATATTTTTTAAAATGTGTAAAAATAGTAAAATAAACAAAATTCATGTAACTAAAATGTTACACTAGAGAATGTTACACCGGAGTAAATGAGAATCTATAAAAGGGTACTTTTTGGTTTGGTATTTTTAAAGACCAAATATTTTTTAAAATGTGTAAAAATAGTAAAATAAACTAAATTCATGTAACTAAAATGGTACACTAGAGATACAAGCCGAATCGGCGCAAAATGGTCATTTTAGTTCTTCAAAAGGTACTATAGTATTGAAGCTAGAAACATGAAATTAATCATGAAGACTTTTGGTACTTTTTCGTTCTTCGCCTGGTACTTTTTGAGTTTTCTATAAAATTGAACCTAGAAGCATGAAATTAAGCAAGTGGAGCCTGGAGTAAATTAGGATCTATAAAAGGGAACTTATTGGACTGGTGCTTTAATGAGTTTTCTATTAAATCAGGGAATTGAGTGAATGAAAATTTAAACTGGAGTATTTTCTGGCACTTTTTCGTTCTTTAACTGGTAGTATTTGAATTTTCTGAACAAATTAATGTATTAAATTTGTTTGTGAATGGAATGCCACATATCTGAGAATAATTGTTATTAATTCATGTAATTATCACTATGCCATTGCAATTTTTGTGCTAAAATTTATAATTTTCTATAACTTTTTATGAATTTAGTTCATTCTAATTTCGGAAGACGGACCTGTATATGGACTCTTAATGAATCAATAGTCCCAGAATTTACTTATTTATTCGATATAAGGCGAATTGTACTACCATGTATGGATATTAATGTGGACATCAGGGTTATTTTCAGAATACGGCCTTTAATGGGATTTGGTCAATTGTGGACCGAGGTCTATAGAATTTAAACGCGTGATTAGTTTTGAAAACAAATGTTTTTTGTAGAATTTCATCATACTTTCTTAATTTTTGAAAGATTTATTAACTGTCATAAAACATCATCATACATCAAATTTCGTTGCTATACTGATATTTTTAACACAGCTATGGTCATAAAATCATTGTCTTAAAGGGTCCATATATGGAGGCTAGGGTCAAATATTGCCTGACATCTGTCATACTTCCCAACATAATTTACAGGTATATATAACCGACTTCTGCAAAAATTTTTAGCGATTGCTACATAAACAACATATTTATTAATGTTTTAACTATAATCCGGGAAGTACTTGTATGGGGGCTAAGTGAAATCATGAACCGATTTTGCCCATTATTAACACAAAACTATATTTGTCATCAATAAGCATTTTTGGAGAATTTCATCAATCTAACACATAACGATCGGAACCTATCCGGTTTCAACAAAAAGACTGACATACAGTCATTGCTAGATGATCTTAAAATCTTTTTTACACTCTTTTTTTTACACTATTTTTTACACTATTGAACCTCTGCTGCGGGTAGTCACCTTGAGTCTTCGGGCACGGTGCAGAGGCTTAAGCATCCTAAGGATGTGAACTAAGAACTACCCTCCCCATACCTCACAGCGTCTGTCCTCTATGTTAAGAGCGGCTGTGGGGTAACGACCATCTTCAGTCGCCTAGCGATTACGACCTCAAATTGGTAGCGTCTGTTCCCTTAGTTAGGGCGGCTACCAAATCCCCCTTCTTTTTTGATGTCGGTCCGGGACTGTGGTTTGGGTTACCTAGGAAACATAACCGTACCTTTCTAGCGTCTGTTCCCTATGTTAAGGGCGGCTAGAAGGTACAATCTGGTTCTGTCAGTCTGAATGTTTTTGGTCGTAACAAAATGCAGGGTGCGTCTGACTTATATTGAGCGGCATCCTGGTCTGCGTCTGACTCCAGAGGAGCGGCAGTGTCCTTTTTCACACCTGTGGTAGAGGTATAAACTACCTAGGACTCTAGGGATCCTGCGACGGAACCAAACCAGAGCAGGCATGTGACCACATCTAAACATGTGCCCCATGCCAGCACTGGACCGAACACGATCACCGTCTCGGAGAATCCAAACGTACAGCCATCTTCATCAAAGAAGGCCACGTCGGGACCAAAGAGACGTGATGACCAATGCGGCATGAAAAAGTCTGCTAGCACAACACCCAAGGGACTGCCTGCATCTTCCTCTTCTCGAGGTACAGCGACGGTCACCAAAGGTCCAGCAAGCAGGCCTATCATAAAGCGGCAAAGGTCAGGTGAAACTCAGGGGTCTGAGGGTAAGCGGTTGAAACCATCAACTAGCTTAACATCAGCACCTGAGCTGCAACTAGCCATTATAGACCGTAGTCATCCCGATGGGAAAATGACTACGGACAGATGGCTACTTCTGGAGGAGAAGATCTAGCGGGCACTAGTTGACGAACTCGCACGCAGTGAGAATGACTCCTTTACTGCGTTCGACGGTGCCAAATGGTCAAAGGGTGTCAAAATCATCGGATATGGTAATGAGAAAGCCCTAGGCTTTCTCAAAAACTGCATCCAAGAAGTTGGTGAACCCTGGCCCAACGAGAAGATTGAAATCGTCCCACTGGACCAAGTACCTTTTCATACGACGGTGAGAGTGTGGGTTCCTCCTCCTATTCTGGAGGACAAATCCATACTAACACTAATTAAGTGTCAAAATAATGGTACTGACGACTGGACGATAGAACGATGACGCACGAGGGACAAGGGAGAAGGTAAGGATCTCTGGATCAAAATTGGTTCAGAATCCCTCCGACTCCTCGGTTCCTCTCAAGGCGTCATAAAATACGGGCTCAACCAACTTCGGTTGATCTTGCCCGCAGAGAAACGCAGTGAAGTGAAGGAAGTTATCCACGTGGCCTTAATCCAAGAACACTGGCTTGCAGCCAGTAAAGTTAGAGGCGTCCGGTCACGAAACTATGTGCTCGTCTCTCCAATCCCTGAAGGTAAAATAAGGAGCTGTATTTTGGTCAGGAAAGACATTAAAGTTTTCCTTCTATTTAATTACAGTTCTGGTGATTTAACGGTAGTTGCATTAGAGCGACAGGGGCTACCAACTCTTATTATATCATCTGCGTACCTACCAGAGATGGGGGTAGTGCACTAATTTTTAACTATCACTAATTATTAGTGGTAGTTCAAAATTATTCACTACTTTTATTTATGTTTAGTGAAAATATAAGACTCATTCAATAATAGTGATAGTGATATTTAAAATTTTTAATTAAAAATATTTTAAAAATAGTTAAAATATTTGTTTTTACAGCCTAGTGAAATAATTTTTTCTACACTAAATTATTAGTTCAAAAAATATTCCTGCACTATTTTTTTTCAACAGAGAAATGTTTCACTCATTTGAAAGTTTAAGTTAATAGGACAGTCTAGAAATGGTTTAAGTCAACCAAAACCTCATTGGACGAATATTATTAATGAGTAAAACGTTCATTATTTACAAAGGTTTCAAGCTATTGCCTAAAAAACATCCAGTAACCACATCATTTTGGCAACTGGCAACGCAGATGATTAACCAATTAATTTAATTCTCCGAGGAGAGTTCATCATTCCGCTAAGAAAAAATCGTTATACTTGAGCAGAAGAAGGCAAAAGTTTTGGAATTTAGGTGTTTCAACCATTTTTTTAAAGCATGAGATGTTGTTGGGGTAACTGCATATGTACTGTCTATCATAGTGCCATCGCTAACAAAATCTGTATTTTCCATTTTAATTAATGTACCTTTTAAAAAATTGAATCATTCATTGTCTTACAAATTCTTTAATTTTCATAAAAAAAAATAGTGCAAAGAAAATTATTGAAGCCTTTTGTTAGTGACTGTTCAAATTTTAACTATTTGAGTGTAGTTCTTTTTTCTACACTACCACTCAATTGAGTTATTGTTAAAAAAATAACATTATCACTAAAAAATATTAGTGCTAAAAATATAAGCTTCACTACCACTAAGCTCCTGAAAATTAGTGAAAAATATATTTTTTAAAATAATATTTAGTGCTAGTTAAATATTGATTTAACTAATAATTTAGTGCACTACCCCCATCTCTGGTACCTACCGTACGACGAAGACAATCCGCCCTCACGTGCCGTACGCACACTAATAGAATGGTGTAATACAAGGGGCCATGATCTTGTCATGGGATGTGATGCTAATGCCCATCATACACTGTGGATATTAATGACAGGGCTGAGTGTTTACTTCAATACCTTCTAACTACTAACCCTAGTGTTTGCAATAGGGGTAATAGACCAACGTTTTTCAATAGGATCAGAGAACAGGTCATTGATAATACTTTGGTAGGGAACACTGACTCAGTCAGAATTCTTGATTGGAGAGTATCACTCGGCTGCTCATTCTCCGATCATCACAGAATAATCTTTACGATACAGCTTACGATGAAAACCGACTGGGTCAAATTCGGTAATCTGATTGATACCATACCACCTCCGGAAACGGATGGACTACATGGTACACAAGACTTGGACGACTCAGTAGATTATCTACCCAGGACTTTAAGGGAAGACTACTATGCTTCATGTAGGATGCGGCAGGTACCTAGGAAATTCCGGCAACCATGGTGGAATCCTAAACTAATGCAGGTAAGGAAAGAATGTAGGAAACTATTTAATAAAGCGAAGAGTGATCAGAACCCGTTAAGCTGGGACGATTATCGTCAAAGCTTCAATATTTTCAAGAGGGAAACCAGAAGGGCTAAGAAGGAATCTTGGAAGCGTTTCTGTGAGGAGCTGGAGAGTACCACGGAGGCATCACGTCTACACAAGGTGCTATCCAAAGACCCCGGTACGCCTGGATTCCTGATGAAACCGGATGGTAACTTTGCTGAAAGTAGCACCGGAACTCTGGAACTGCTTATGGAGACACACTTTCCGGGTTGCAGAGATGATGAAAATCAAAGCTCCACCTTGGAGCACCTCGCAGCTTCTCGAATCCACATAAGTGAATTAGTCAATTCCATTGTTAGTATGGAGAAAATTTCGTGGGCGGTGTCATCCTTCAAGCCCTATAATTCCCCAGGGCCAGATGGCATATTCCCAGCACTACTCCAAAAATCGATCACCACCATCATGCCATGGCTAATTATGATATTTAGGAGCAGCCTGGAAACAGGATATTTTCCTAAAGTATGGAGAGAGGTTACAGTGGTATTTATCCCCAAAGCGGGAAAAGTAAACCATAATACCGCCAAAGACTATAGGCCAATCAGTCTGTCATCGTTTTATTGAAAACAAATGATGTTCCTGACATGGATGTCGACCAAATCCATGTCAGGAACATCATCTCTCCTGATAACTTCTGTAGAGCACAACACGCATACCTGAAAAGAAGGTCGGTCGAGACAGCCTTACATGACGTTGTCGGAACTATAGAGAAGGCAATTGACATAAAAGAATATGTTATGGCATCTTTCTTAGACATTGAGGGTGCGTTTAACAACGTGAACATATCCGCAATAGTCGATGCACTGAGTGACCTAGGTGTTGATCAGCGGATAAGAAACTGGACAGAAAACATGCTTAAGAGTAGGGCCATCTACTCTAATATGGGTATTGGCAAGACAAGGAAAGTTGTGACAAGGGGCACACCACAAGGTGGTGTCATCTCTCCACTCCTGTGGAATCTTGTCGTAAATAAAATCCTTTTCAGACTCAGTAGAATGGGCTTCAAAGTAGTCGCATATGTTGACGTGCTTCTTATTCAAGGGAAGTTTCTTCCCACAATAAGTGAACTCTTGGAATCAGCCCTCAGCATTCTACTATCATGGGCCAAGGAAAACGTGTCAACCCGGCCAAAACTGAACTGGTTCTTTTCACCAGGAGGTACAAAATTCCAGAATTCAGACCTCCGCGTTTGGATGGTACCATTTCGAACACCTCAAGGGAGGCGAAATATCTTGGCGTAATCCTATGATGGCTCAAAGACAGAAAGGGGTACGGGATCGGGAATCTTCTCCGATGATCTAAATCTTCTACCGTCTCTTCGACTACCTGACACCTGCACGGTACTTCAGGCAGAGAAATATGCCATCTATACTGCCGCGAGAAGAATCCGGGAACTAAATCTCGAAAATTCGACTATACATATATACTAGGACAGCCTTGCATCAATCAAGGCTCTTAACTCCAATGTCATTAAGTCGGAATGTCTTCTGAATTGCACAACTGACACAACATCACGTTGAGTTGATATGGGCTCCATTACATGAGGGCATCCGGGGAAATGAAATATCTGATGAATGCGCAACCAAAGGATTGTCTCTGGACTTAACCCTTGCGCAAAAGGATATTCACGCTCCCCTGACGACCCTATCAAAACTGATAGATGAATGGGGTCTGAGTGAGACGGAACTCAGGTGGTCACCACTTGTAGAATATTGAGACTGCTCTGGCCCACTCTGACAACAGATAGGACTAGGACTCTCTTATCTCTTGATAAGAACTCGATTAGGCACTGTATGATTGGACGTACAGTTAATCTCAAAAATAAGTATACAGAAATACTGACAATTGGTTTTATTTAAATAAGTAACACATTTATTTATTAAAAACATTACTTTTTTCCGGGTTATTTTGGTTACTTGAGTTCTCATTTAAGGCGTAGTTAAATAGGTGCAAAATTTACGTCACAAAAGTAAGTATACAGATAATTTCAATATGTATTTGGCTTAATGATATTAACAAAATTCATTGAATGTAATTTTTTATAATAAAATATTCTGTACACTATATCATGGAAAAAATTCACTTTTTGTTCCGAAAAATTGAAATTTTATTTTGTATATCAAGATATGATTGCTAGCACTATTGTATGCTTTGGAAATCGGAGTATTTGGAAACCCTGTTTAAATTAAAGGAAATATAGAATTATCCAAATTTTAAAGTTTATTTTGTAAGTCGGTTTTATTAAAAATTTATAATTTTAATATTAAATTTTGAAATAACTCCATCTGTTGGCCGCTGCTGACATTATGATTTGAAATTTGTTTAGCCTCGATTAAAACCGTTTGCCTTATTCTCAGCTTTAGAATACAAAAGAGAAGTTTGCGGTTTTATTGCTCAATTTTTTGCTATTAAAACTTGTGTCTTGAAAAACTTGATTTTTTAACCACGTTTTTTACAAAACTACAAGCTAGTTTCTGCTATGTTCATTCGTAATATGTGTATCATTGTTGCTAAAATCGTATTTAAAATGAGTTATACAGTGATATGAAGAAATATTTATATCTACAACTTATGCTTTAAATTTCGATTTAGAAATCTATAGCATATTATTTGAAAGTTATAGGGAAAAACAGACCGAAAAAAATTTTTGAAAAATATTGTTTTTTGGTAAATTCATTCTGTTTAGGTATAGTATTATTTTCATCAAAAGAAAAAATTGTAAAAAATTATTTCGTGACTTTTTTTAAAAAAGTTGTAAAATTACTGAAATCCTTCAAAACAAAATTCGAAGTTTTTCTATATGTCTATATGTGTACAAAATGTTGAATTTTTTTTAAGTTCTTAATTTATGAAAATATCACTTTCCGTTTTAAAGATACAGCAAAATTTGCTGTAATTTTCCGAATAATAAAAATACGTGTAAAATTAAACAAATTCTATGTATGTACCCACTAAACAATTTTTGCCGAATTCGTAAAGACAGTCTGCACAAGTTGCCGATTTCGTATCCGAATTCCGTCAGAATTCGTTACGAAAATCGTATGAAAGGTTGTTCGGAATTCGGAAATCTATTTCTGAGGAAATTCGGAAAAATGTGCAGAGTTGTCGGTCAGAATTCGGTACGAAATCTGATGTAAATTCCTGGGGAAATTCTGAAGAAATTTTCGACATATCTGTTTGAAGTCGAACAAATGTCTGATACCATGTCTGACATTCATTCGACATTTCGTACGAAATTCTGATCAAATATAAGAAAGTCTAATAGATGTCGGATAAATGTCTGTTAAAATGTCCGACAGTTCGTACAAAAGTCTGATCAAGTATAAGAAAATGGCCTGACTATTCTGATCAACGTCTGATGAAAACTATTTTCATACATATAATTTATTATGGTTTAATTTTATTAATTTTAATAATAATTTATAAGCTTCCATTATTCATGACTTCTTAAGGGTGCATAAATAAATAATAGAAACTTATAGATTATTTTTAAAATTAATAAAATTAAACCATACTACTTACATATTATATACGAAAATAGAGTTCAATTTATACATATGTATATTTAAAATTATAAAATTAAACCATAATAAATGATGTAATTTTTTGCTAATTTTTGTGTATTAACAAAGTTTAAAGAAATTTAAACAATAATCTTGAAGATTTATCGGATATAATTCTTAAGCCATTTTATATTTTACTTCAGAAAATGTAGACTATTATCCTTTATGTCTAAAAAATAATATAGGAATAAAAAAACAAATTGTCCTTCGCCAATGTGCAGACTAGTCTCATAATTGTCGTAATACTGAAATTCCCTTTCGATAATGACAAGTCTGATGTTAATCGTTTAATACTTCAGAAAATGTGCAGAAAGTCTAACAAACAGTTTGCCGATTATTCTGTAAAATGCCTAAAGGAAATTCGTTAAAAATTCTGATAAAGTATAAGAATTATTTCAAAAAATTTTTGACATCAGACATGTCTGAAAAAATTGTTTACTGGGCTTTTTCTCGTATAACACAATCTCTTATCAGTAATAATGATTACTTTGTACCAACCCTCGTCGAGAAAACTCTCCTAGAGGAAACGATGGATCTCTAATTCTTAATTTTATGAAATATATTTAAATATATAAAAAATATATAAAATGTTTATAAATAAATATCCTTGATGGCATTCCAAAACAAGTTTTTTCACTTTCAAGAAATATCACAAATGGACTTCGTTCTTATGGAATGAAATATCAACGGCTTTATAAATAATTATCACAATCTCCAATTACTTATTAAGGATATAGATCCAATTCCAGCAAAAAACTATAATGGTTATTTTGTGAATTCTGTTAATAATACCATATCTAAACAAGCAGCTGGAGTTTTTATTAAATCCACACAAATTAATTTCTGTCAATTCTGATTACCAAATTGTTGCGGTAGAGATTAACCTTAACATACAATTCACTATTTTATCTTTTTATATTCTACTTAATCAAAATATATTAATTCGAGACATAAGTAACGTAATAAACTCTTTCAACACTCCAGGGGATTTCAATGCCTGGAACACAATATGGGGATCTACAACAAATAACCACAGAGGGTATCTACTGGAAAACATATTACAAAATGGTGGCCACACATAACACTTTTACAAACATAGATGTTTCATTCTGTTCGATAAACCTACTACCATTAACATCATCAGAGACTTACATGGCAGCGACCACTTCCCAATCAGAATATATGTAAAATTGATCGAAGAAATCACTACAATAAAAACCAACAAATATTTAATCCACCTGGCAGATTGAGAAAACTATAAACGCAAACTAAACTCATCCAACGACAGGAATGCAGCCATAATAACCAGATCTATACGCACAGCAGCTAACATCCACATCCCACAAATATGCAGTAACTTTAAATCACAACGAAGTAATGTCCCCTGGAAGAACCAGACACTAGCGGATTTACGAAAACAAAAAATGAAAAAATGGCAAAAATTTAAATCAAATCCAACACATGAAAATCTGGTCTTGTTCAAAAAGTATAAAATTTCACTAAATCAATAAATAAAAGTACATCAACTTCAATAATATGGAACAAAATAAATAGAATTTCTCGCAAAGGACCATCCACTAGCATAAGTGCAATAGACACACAAACTGAAACAATAATCGACCCACTCAAAATAGCAAACCATTTTGGCAACGTTTGGTCCGAAAACTCATCTGATGCAATTTTTTATACCCTCCATCATCATCAGTGGTGATAGAGGGCATATATAACTTTGTTTTACTTTTTAATTCATCCAG